GCATGGCATCATCACACCTACTGGCCCCCACAATGTGTGTGTGTGTGTGTGTGTGTGTGTGTGTGTGTGTGTGTGTGTGTGTGTGTGTGTGTGTGCGGGCGCGTGTGTGTGTGCGCGTGTGCATGCATGTGGGTGGGTATGCGTAGGTTGTGTGCGAGCGCAATAATACATGCTTGCTTGTGTATATATCTATTTCACATTCGATTTATTCATTAATCGCGTGTGTCGATATAGAATGGGAACCGTGTTTGCGAGGGCGCCATGTTTGATAAAATTTTACCGACGGGGTCGTGAGCTCGTGCCGTAAGACTGCCCTATTCCACACACTGCTCCGTTCGATATTTTTACTACACACTATTTGCTGACGTTTAACCCCGCGTGGCGGTGTCTCTGTTCGCTACAGATTTTAATCGCAGCCTGCAGAACTTCCAGTATACGGATGACCGCATGGCCTCCATCTTCTTTATGGTGATGAACAAGACCAAATTCGAAGGCGTCTCGGTGAGTAATAAAAGTAACACATAACGTCCGTTCCATTTCCTTGCGTATTACGAAAATCTCCGTTGAATTAGTCGTGACGTTCGTGACCATGCGAACAAGCATTGCGGGAGAAAGGTGGATTCAGCACGGGCACTTCCAGAAGAGGAAGCTGGCGAGTCAAGATAACCGCCCCCACCATCACCCGCTTGTAACTGCAGGCCTCGTTTTTCTAGTGCGTGCTAAAAAAGCTTATCCGAATGAAAACAGAATACAAGTGAATATAAATTATATAATGAAAGTCCATTCGATTGTAATCATGATCAGTTTTCTAATAAAACAAATGTTTAGATACTACGCCTTCCAGAACTCTTTCATCCGAATAGCGTATTAATCGGTTACACAAACAATGTAGTAATGCATAGCGCATGCGCAGGCGCTGTTTGCCTTTCGGAGCGCAGATTTTAATGGGAAACGCTCTGAATGCGACAGATTCGCATGGCGGTGACCGGACGGACTCCGCTTGTCACTGGTTCCCCCGAGGTGTTTACATCTCCAATGAGACACCGAGTCATAGTGAGAGGAGAGTACACGAAAGAGAGAGAGAGAGAGAGAGAGAGAGAGAGAGAGAGAGAGAGAGAGAGAGAGAACGAGAGGAGAGCGACAAAGCAAGATAAGAAAAATAAAAAGAGAGAGAGAGGGCGCATAAAGGGGGATAACATAGAGGCGATATCATAACGCCCGATCTCGTAAACAGAGAATCTTCGCTAAGAAAACCCTAGATGCGAGAACTGGCTTTCGCTTCGTGTTAACGCTGTCTGCTTTCGGCTTCCGGCGCATGTGTAGACAGACGCGCGGATATACGGTGAACGCGTTGCGGGTGGCCTTACTAGTGTTATTCGCTCACATTCACATGGGCGGCGTTTGTATAGTAGGACGACCTGCGCGCAATCTGCTGGGGCTGTGTGCATGAGTGCCTGCGCACTGTGTATCGTGCGCGGTGAAGTGTACATGCGCCATAATGCAACAGCGCTGCCTTCAAGGCTAATGCTTGTTGTGTGTGTGTGTGTGTGTGTGTGTGATGTGTCGTGTGTGTGTGTGTATGTGTGGTGTGTGGTGTGTGTGTGTGTGTGTATGTGGTGTCGGTGTGTGTGTTGGTGTATGTGTGTGTGTGTGTATGTCGTGTGTGTGTAGTGTGTGTGTGTGCGTGTGTGTGTGTGTGTTGGTGTGTGTGTGTGTCGGTGTAGTGTGTGTCGTGTGTGTGTGGTGTGTATGTGTGTCCACCCGCCTCCGTGTCGTGTCGTGGTTTGTGTGTGTCGTGCTGTCGTATTTGTGCTGTGTGTCGTGTGGTGTGCTGTTGATGTATGGGTGTGTGGTTGTGTGCTGTATACCGTTGTGACTGCGCACCATGCGTACTCGCTAGCTGCACCCCTGTGGTGTCGTGCGATACGTTCAGTCGCCTCGCCCTCCCGTAGTGTGGTGTGCTGCTGCGTGGGCGTGCGTGCGCGTGCGGTGCGTAGCGTCGTGCGTTGTGTGTGTGTTGTGTAGCTGTGTGTCGCGGGGCTCGTCAGTCATTCGCTGTTGCGTAGTGGTTCACGGTTGGGGACAGGTCCGTGCGCACGGCTCCTTCGCCCAGTTTATTGCGCGCTCCACCCCGTCGCGTGCGTTGCGGTCGAATGGCGCCCGTCGGTGTATATGTGAGTTGCGCGCGTGGAGGGGGTGTCCTGTACTCGTGCACACATGGCGTCCGTGTGCGACTGCGTAATCGGTCGCGGAGACGCGCTGACAAAAACGGTGAAGCTGGCTAAAAAATGAAATGCGCTAAAAGAACGTGTGTTCGCTGGCTCAAGCCATGCTAAACTCGGCCGCGCTGCGTAAACGCATGCGCACCTTATAAGCTTCGGTGCTCCGTGCGAAAGTTCCACTAATCAGTATCGATGAATTCTTAATGGCGATTCAATCATTTCGCACGAATTCGCGTCCAAAAGTCACTCGGCGACGTTCTACGGAATCTGTGTTTAAGGTCGCGTTTCTACGGACAGGAGAAACGCGAGCAAACAACGGGGCGCAGCCACCTCAACCCCGCACGAGGGCACACCCATGTCCAGCCACGGCCACGAGCATCCCGCGACGGCACGCACCGGCCGCACGAGGGCCAAAGACAACAACCCATCACAACACTCACAACACTCACCACGATAGTGAGGACATCAGACACATATCACACATCACCCACATACATCACCCGCACACAGCTCACGACACCAGCACAAACTACGACCACCAACCAAACACACGGACACGACACACACACATGACGAACAGCGACGCACACTACGACACACACTGACACACACACACACACGCAGCACGACAGCACACACACCACACGCCGCACCTCATCACACGCACGCACCACAACAGCACCGACTCACCAGTCACATACCGACACGCGACACCACGACACACATCGCTGCGCCATAACAGCTCCCACACGAGCCACACACACACAACACACATAGCCCCCCCAGTCCACACGACCACACACCGACCCGTACACAAGCACCACCAGTCACACACACACAGTGGCGGCACGTGCGTCTTCACTCGAACTGTTTAGGTTACATGGGGGAGCAGCGACCATCGCAGGTCGCATCACAAATACCGGTATCTACAGTACATATATACCAGGTAATTAGTTCGCATAGGCCCTACGATATTGCTAGTCGTAGTGTTCAAATTAGTTATTACGTCCCCCGGCGCTAAAAAAACCTTAAAAACATGTCCCATAGTATAGGATCTATCGTCC